ACGTCACAACTGAACGACCACCTCTGCCTCTGCTCTGGACCGACTCACAGTATGAGATAAGGAGAACACAGTGTTTCATTTTCACAGAAAAAACAACAAGGTGTGTGATTTTTCACATGACATGGAACTCTCTTTTCCAACAGGCTGTGACATGCCGTCTACCTACACACACAAAAACCAAAGCCTGAAGAGTCAGCAATAATTTGACAGCTGTTAAACCATCCATCAGATCACTCATGAGAATTCACACTGCACTGCAGGTGTGAATAATGAATTTAGCAGCCGAGTCAACTTTGCTAACAATATTCACAGACAATAAAAATGAATGAATACCTGGCTACACTATCAGCCCAGGTAGAACTACAGATGTGTGTTTACACTTTCAAATAAACTGCTTATTAATTTAAATTAAAGTGGATTAATTAATGTGTCAGTAAAATTAAAAATGTCAACAAAGTTTTGCTAGTTTTGTTTTTTAATGAAAGTGAATAATCCACTAACTGTTGCAGCACAAATGTCCTTGGGGCTGTGACCAGTCAGATTAACATCACCAACACACACACACACACACACTAAGGCACCTGCTGGTTTCCCTCTGTTACCAAATAAGTTGCTGCATGTAAACAGGCCAAACAAAAACACACAGCCTAAGAATCTAAATCCTTAGTTTTATGTCACGCCCACGGTCTTTAAAAACCTTCTCCTCTCTGCTGCGTCGACTGATGAAAACAAACAGAGACACCGAACCCCAGAGAAAGTCAGCAGTTAGACAAAGGTATGAGAAGAGTGGTCTCAGGGCCTGGGTTAATATTTGAAGGTTCAGCACACAAACCCAACTACAGCACAGCTCCAGTCTGTGACCAGGACCCCACGAGGCAGAAACCACTGCATTTGTGCCACAAAAACAAACAAACAATATATACATATATATTTATAGCATATGAAGGTTAGACATCGGCCGTTATATTAATTTATATGATTTCTACTATTTATTTAATTCATTAATTATTGGGGGGGGAATCATACTTGTTCCAACAGTCCAATAACCCTGATGATCAAACCCAAACACACGGTTCAACCATAGACTTTTACTGTGAAATACTGGAAGGGTGGGAATGGTTCTCCCTGTGCAAACACTCTCGCAGAGATGGCTGACAAACATGTTTGGCAACATACTGTAAGTACTTGTGTCACAACACCCCCCCACCCACCCCCACCCTGACAGGACAGCAGCAGTGACAAGTCAGGTTTTAGTTCTCACCCAATGCCACAACAACTGACTACTAAAAATAAACCCCAAAAAACTAAAAGCCTCCTCTCTCCGACCGTTACTGCAACCTTTAAGCGAGGTAAACATTCCGCCCTCCAGATGTCTGCTGCATGCATCAGACTGGGACAAGACCAGACCTGCGACTCCTCCTTATCTCCACACGGCCTCAGGCTCTGCCCATCCTTGCTCTAAAGCTCTTGCTAACTGTCAGCAGTGTTTAACTGTCAGGGCTAAACCAAAGACATCTCTCTATAGGGGGGTGGGGTGGGGGGGCATGTTTTGTAAAGGTCATTTGGGAAATATGACGCTCTCCACATTAACTTTCATCGTGAGTAAAGCCTGTCATGTCACATCTCCCCCGTGGGCAAAAAACAGAAAAACCCTTGTTAAATTAGTTTTCTAAATTCCTCCCAGTGCTTCCAGAAACATTAGTCTGTGGTAATTCTGATCATTTGAGATGTAAGGCACTCCAAAAAGTTCCCTAATGGACTTTGGTAAATGAGACTCACCTGTTGCAGAACTTTATCCAGGGCTTCAGCCTTCAGCAGCTCGTCCACAGTCAGGCCTGTCTCCTCTTTACACTGCTCTGTCAGCTCCAAAGTGTCTGGCTTGACTAGACATCGGTGAAGTTTTCCCACCTGTGGAAGGATTTAGTATTTCATGGTACAAAATGCGGCGTAAGAAGAAGGAAAAGACCCCCACATTCAGGAAATCTTAAATAAATTATTTTTTTTATAAATATATAAAAGTTCATCAATTGACAATGTGGCAGCAGAACGCACTTAATTGTCAACAACGTGATACTGATGTGGAGACGCTGACATGCAAAAACCAAAAAGGTGCGCGTTCTCTGAGGTGAAATCTGCCTCTGTTCGTGTTTGGCCGCACACCTGCAAACAGGTGAGCTAACGAGGTAGCATTGACTTAGCATGAGGAAAAGGCAGACGGAGAGCACACACCATGTTGATTTAAATGTCAGACACACTATTTCACTAATCATACACACTGTTCCACAGACATGTACTANNNAAAAGAAAACCGTACAACGAACGAACGAACGAACGGGTCAGAGAAGTCCGTACCTTTTTCTCATGTAGATCCACAATTTGCCACACCAAGAGAATTATTTCCCTCTCATCCGAACCCAGTTTACCCCCATTTGCACCAGCTGTTGCCCCAAAGAACACCACCAGAGTATCACTGTGCGAAGCCATCAGGGACCACAAGGGTAAAAACTACAATTAAAGCAAAGATTAAATAAAAAATAACACGAGGGTTCACCTTTTTCCAAGTGATAAGAAGAACGAACAAAAGGACTGGAAACTCAATTGAGGTAAACGGAGAGAGAGAAAGGGAGATTAATTTGAGAGGAGCCACGGAAGAGTTTGCGGTCAGAGACTCTACCTGTTGCGGTACTTGAGTGTGCTCTATCCAGAGATACTGGTTTAACTGGTAAGGAAGGGAGGAAATCCGTGTTTCTTTCACGCGAGCTCCATGACGAGCCCTGGAGTTTTTTTCCCCCTGAGTTACCTGTGTGGCTCGGCCTCCCACAGCAGGGAGAGTCTCAGCGGCGACGACTATTGGCTCGTTCTCAAAGGTAAGGGCGGGACATTGGGACAGAAGCTGTACGCCGATTGGTCAGATCTGTCGAATCAGGAAGTTGTACTACATATGCCAGGAATATTTCTGCCGCCACATTTAACTGATCTTTCATACTAATTTAAATGGAGGAGATTATTTGATTCATGGCGACAAATACTTTACGGCACAAATAAGATTAGAAATTATAAAGACTGAACTTTGTGCTTTAAGTGTTTATAGATTGTGACATTTCACTTAGAAACCATTTATAATGTTTTTAATCAGACGAGTTGTAAACGTCCTGAAAATAAAATTAAGTCTCATTTTATCAGACGAGTTGTAAACGTCCTGAAAAAAAGTCTCATTTCTTTAATTTGGCATTTTTTTCAACAGTTTATCAAAAAACAAAATTATTTTAATGTCTTTTATCCAAGTTTTCTGTTTGTTCTTAACCAGAAAAATAAGTTATCAGGAAATCATCAAAAAGCTTTGGTCTTTTATTAACATCACCTCAATAAGATCATTTTATTTTTGATTATATTTTTGTCAATACGCATTTTCTTTAAAACGGAATAACAGTGAAAATGTAATAATAATAATAATCTTATGCAAATATATAAATAAAAATATGTAGAAAATCCTGATTAAATCTGTGTATCAAATGTATTCACGTGTTGTATATATATATATAATAAATCAACAAAAGTCATGACTGAAGAAAGGAGAAAAAAAGAAACACGAAAAGAGTTACTGACAGAATGAAATAGAAAGTAAAATAACTAGGATAAAACATGTGTTTGATACATATATATTTTTTAAAAACTCACTTTATATTATTCCACAGAAAGTCACTAATATGAATTACCGTTCATGGCCACTGCTCAAATATAGTTTCCAAAGGCCTTTTTGTTCCTCTAATTTTATCTAAAGCACCAGCTGTCATAACAGGATAATATATGAGGGTGTAAAAAAAAAGAAAAAAAAGTTTTAATTACTCCACAGGTCTTAGCTGGCCTACCAGAGACTTTTGGCTCAGTTCCCAGAATGCCATGTTTTGTTGCTCCTGACACTCCCAGTTTTGCCTACTATGGGTCAGAAGACTGTAATGAAGGCAGAGGTTTTTCATCTTTTCAGCTTCTTTCATTCATTTAAATCTACCGTCATGAAAAATAAAAGTCCTAGTCTGTTCTCCCTTGTGCATAATGTATTATTTGCAACTAAACCAGTCTGGTTACATAGTGTAAACGCTGCTGTTGGCTTTAGCTGAGAGATCACAGGAACCGAAAAGGGTATTTATCTTTATGACAAAACAACTCATAACTTTTTATATATCGGTATAGCAGTTATTGTTAAGTTAAATATTCTGGTTCAAGATCGAACCAATACTTTATATGTATTATATATAAAAATATGTGTTTAATACTTTATATGTATTATATATAAAAAATATGTGTTTTTAGTTGTGTATTATTATTATTATTATTTGTAGTTATGATTGAAAGCCGAAATACTCTTTGTATAGTCTTTGCACCACATTTAAATAAAATGTAAACAGAAAAATAAATTATGTTGAAAGGTGTTCGTATAACACTGAAGGTTTCTGTTTGCTTGCCTGAAGACAGCGTAAATGTGACTAAACAAAAAACATTTTCTGTTGCTAATGTGTATAAATATGTTGTTAATGGCTTTAAAATAAATGTGTTAAATCACCTAGAACAAAATGATAAAGAAATACTGCGTCATTGTTTTATATCTCGTGTAACGATACTCTTTCTCATGGGTTTCCGTAGTGTAGTGGTTATCACGTTCGCCTAACACGCGAAAGGTCCCCGGTTCGAGACCGGGCGGAAACAATTTTTTTTTTTATAAATTGTTCAGATCGGAATAACAAACGTGTTTACTTCCTCATCTTATGTGGGCGAAAAAGTTATGACACTTTTCAACAGTCTTGTGAGATCGTGGCGAAAGTGCGTTTGTTTTTGTTACATTCTTCTCAATCAATTCTGTTACAGATGCCTCGTCGTTTTTGAGTTTTTATGTCAATACATTGTCATGAAAATATTTGTTGTGAGTACTAACATGAGCGTGTGAGCGTGTGTTTGTGTGTTTGTAGTTTTATGTATTATTAAGAGATTACAGAAAATATGCTTCAATAAAAACGTCTGAATGTGTCTCGGCCATCTAGTGGTGACTTGGTGTCATCACTGTTATGAGAACGTTTCTAAACTGTGACACAAAAACAATTCGCTTTTACATATTTATAAAAATTCAACTCAATAACAGATTTGTTTAAAAACCCATTTGAAGGCTGTGACAAACCATAAAGACACGATTCCTCTTTTTTGCTGCTTACTTAAGGGAACATGCACTTTTTCATTTAGCAATCATTTACTGAGAGGAAGTTGAAATAAAGTTTCTTGTCTGTAGGGAGACACTAAATAGAATGTCATTCATTTCTCATGTCTGTATGAGCAATCTTAGATGTGTTGATAATAAATAAACATTGTGGTTGCCATAGCACATCAGGGCTAAGACCTCCACAATAGAAACAGAGACATGAAAATGAGTTTACATCTGTACTTTGTTTACATTCAACTCTCAAACATAGTTAACAAAATCAACAATCAGGACAATGGATTCTTGCTATGATATAAAAATACTCTGCTTTTTACATGACTTATTTCAACATTTTTCTAAATAGATTTATGTACATATAGGTATTATTTCACAAATACACTGAGCACTGAAAATATGACATGTAATATTGGCATCTAAAATACACAGGTGATATAAGGAATATGCACAAGAATCACACAAGACAGTATAAAATATCAGGACATATTGTTTTCACACATTTTAATCAAAATGTCCATTTGGTCCTGACTTTCCAAAACGCAATGAGAGTCAGTGGTCTGTTTGCTTTGTCTCTTTGAAACAAAGGACAGTTCTCTGTTGCCCTCGCCTGGGGAGGTGCTGGAGATGTGGTGGAAAAGCTTCTGGATGCCAGTGTCGCGTAGGGAACTCCTGAAAGAGCGCGCTGCAAACATATAGAGTATTGGGTTAATGGAGCTGCTGATGAAGACCATGGCCCCCGTGATGAAGCTCATGGTGCTCCGGACACGCTCCAGGGTTTCTGCTGCATCAGAATGGGAATCTTCAATGGCCAGTTTGATGAGTGACAGAACATTCTCCAAGTGATGAGGTGTCCAACACAGAGCGAACACAATCACAACACTTGCAATGAGGACAGTGGACTTCTGCTTTGACTTGAACGTCATCTTGGTAATACGGCTGCACAGACAGCCGTAGCAGACCACCAGAATGAAAAGGGGTAACATGTAGCCCACAAGGGTCTCCAGCAGCAAACACACCACTTCCTGGGTGGCAGTTGTGTAGTGTCTGTACAGACAGTGCTCCTCGCCAGAATCCTTCCCTACAACCTGAGTTGGGATGACGGGGATGCTGAACAAAAAAGATGCGGTCCACACAGCCAGCAGCACTTTGTTCAGAGCCCTTTTTCTTTTCCAGTTAGCTGAGGCAAACGGATAGCGCACGGCAACGAACCGCTCAACACTCATAAGGGTTATGAAAAAAACACTGCTGTACATACATGCCATGATGATGAAGACCATGACTTTGCAGGAGACTTCTCCAAAAACCCAGGAGTGGGCCAGGGAGTATATCCAGAGAGGCAGGGTGATAAGGACCAGCAGGTCCGCAGCGGCCAGATGTAGAATAAGAACCACAGTGTGAGAACACTTCTTGACGTGTCTCAGGATGGTCCATATCACCAAAATGTTTCCCGGAGTGCCAACCAGAAAAGATAAACCTAGGATCACACAAGCGACTGCTGTGCCGCCATCAAACTCTTCTGGAGCCATTTCCTCTGGAGGAGGTCGGTCGGTCGAATAGTTCATGCTGAAAGTGTATGTGCTGACAGTGGTGTCTACACAAAAGCCAAACAAAATGCTGCACAAGCAAGTATTCACTTCCCTAAAGGAATATACAGCACAGAAACGAGGTTTCCTCACAGGCTTGTTTGAGACACTCGATGATTCATACATCTGTCATAACTGTTTGTGCATATCATGAAGAGGAGTTATTATTACCTTTTATTAAGCATTTTTTTATTCCTAAGTGGAAAATTGTCCAACTATATGGCTCCAGATAAGATGGAGAACAAAAAGCTTCTCGCCAAACATCATATTAAAGGGAACAAAGAACTGCAGTTACAGTAACTTTCAACTATGGGACTGTGATTTTTCTTCCTAAGTGGATGTGGTGAAGTAAAGAAATACAAAGGAAATAATTAAAAATCTGCCATTTTACAATCATTTATATTAAACTGGAGCCTTTTCTGGATTGTGGCAGTAAGTGTGTATATACATTAATGCAACAGATCTTTTTTTTAAATCACTAATTTACTCGTGACTGGTGATCAAAGATCATTTTGTACAATAATTGTTTCCCAACAAAACCCCGCCTTCTTTCGATATGAACACATCTTGGATACAGAGGAAGGACTTTTCTGTGAAAGTCAGAAAAGGAATTAGTCATCATTACTGGCTCAACAATAACAACGGGAATGCCCTTTACATTTCAGCCTTTCATTACGTTGTACATATTAAAGTTTGGACAAAGCTGAACGCACGTTTGAAACACGTTATGACTTTTTTTCTGACAATTGAAATTACGAATATAAGTTCAACATTGAACTAGCGTCGTAAATGATAAATATAAATATATATTAAAGGAAATGGTAGGCATTCCACTTATTAACAAACACGGACAAATATGCGTTTGTACTTTTGCTGCTCTCTAGCGTTTGATAGTCATATTACAACATAATCTGTTGCGCTCTTTGATGTGCTATTCAAAACTATAAAACCAACATAATCTGTTGCGCTCTTTGATGTTGTGCTATTCAAAACTATAAAAATATAATAGAAAAAAAAAGTTCAACACAAATGAAACATTCCAGACGACACTGGAAAAACTTTTTAAAATTTTTTTTAAAGGAAATATCTTCAAATAATGTCTCGTTGACACAATCCGTATAGTAAAGTATAAGATTATGCTGAAATCACTTTTAAGGTCTGTAATATAAAATCCTCCACTTGTACCGTATATAACTTCAGTTTAGGTTATGGTTCGACTAGAGGTTACTGTTGTGTATGACATGATCTTCGTATGCATGCAAAAAATGAACCTATTTTTCTGTGTTAAAACCACATTATTTCGACTTTTTTTATAGACCCAGGAAGTTTACTAATCATATAATTAGTCGAACCGATAAATATCGCACCTTTTCTGGTTTTCTTTCAAAGGGTTCACGATCTTTCTAGAAGTGTATATTAATAAAACAAGCAGTAAATATAAAGTTGCACCGTAGCCCGGTGACGTAGTCAAGCTGCGCAGTTGAAAGCCAGCCTAAATCAACTGCTGGTTCGGAGAAATAAAAAAAGACGATGTTGTTTTCTGTTGGGCTTCTGCTTTCAAACTATGGAGTACAACCGTGAACACAGTTAAGAAACACGGACACGGTGTTGTGTTTTTTACACCCTGTAAGTGTTGTTTTTTATCTGAGTTGACGTCTGTCTGGTGTCTGTTAAATTTTGAAGCCAATATTGGCTAACACGTATGCTAGCTGCGGCTATGGCTAGCCAGGTTAAACGATAACGACAAAGTCTGTGTTATTTACTTTATGGCGGTAATGTTTTTAATTATCGACTCTATGCCTTAGCTGTCATTACCAGACCCATCATTTACACACACACAGATACAATTAATATTTGTTCTGTAATTATACCTGTACCAACTGTGTTGAGCTAACATGGAGCTAGCCTACCTGAACACAGCAGGTTTGATGTCTCTTGTTAAACTTCTTTAAAGCTACCACCAGAATCTCACCATAGCGTGTTACTCAGCTAGTTAAGAACGGTAACTTACAGTACTATTATGGATTAATGATGACATTGCCGATTGTATTTGTTATGCTGTTTTTTGTAGTGTGTTCTCAACGTTAACTGCTTGACATTTTACCCTCAGGTGATTGTAGTTTTTTTTTTGATCGTGATAAACACCGTTTAATAAATCGGACTCGAAGGATCGGATAGAACCGCAGAAATGCCTCTGCTGTTTCTGGAGAGGTTTCCTTGGCCCAGCCTGCAGACCTACACCATACTGAGTGTGGTGTTGCTTGCTGGGAGCATCTTCAGTGCCTACAACATTGTGACTGATCCAGGCTTTGGGCCCTTGGAAGCCGATGAAACACCATCGTCACCAGAAGTGGATCTTGATCATCTAAACAATGATATAAGCAACAGTGAACTAGCAACTACTGTCCTGTGGTATCTCGCCACAGACAGCCTCTTTGTATGGGTGAGTGTTGCACTGTTGTGGAGTCTTTTGGTGAATAAATTAGGTGTGTACAATAAATGTCAATACCTCCCTTTCACTCCAGGTGTTGGTCAACACATTTTGCTGCTCGTTGATGTTAATAGCAAAAATGATTCAGTATGTGGTGTTTGGTCCACTTAGAGTCAGTGAAAAGTGATTCAGTATGTGGTGTTTGGTCCACTAAGAGTCAGTGAAAAGCAGGTATGTTTTTTTAAAAAAAAAAAAAACATCTTTGCACATATCTTGTAAATGTTTATCCTCTCCTTACTTGAGTTTTCTTTGCACATATCTTGTAAATGTTTATCCCCTCCTCACTTTCTTTTTTTTAATGTTATTTTTTCAGCACCTAAAGGACAAGTTTTGGAATTTCATTTTCTACAAGTTCATCTTCATCTTTGGTGTATTAAATGTGCAGACTGTGGAGGAAGTGGTCATGTGGTGCTTGTGGTTCTCCGCCCTTGTTTTTCTACATCTTATGGTCCAACTCTGTAAAGACAGATTTGAATATGTAAGTATTAAAAAATACTCTTAAAACCTTTTTTTTCAATGCATTTGGTATCTATTAATAATCCTGACTGGGTGGTAAAATTACACCTTTTTAATTTTGAGCAAATATGTATTTGAAATAATCAAGATTATTTTAAAATGAACAGATGGACCTTTGTTGTTCTGTTGCCTCTATATTAAACCCTCTCACCACTGGAAGATTAGGTTGCCTCTATATTAAACCCTCTCACCACAAGATTAGAGGAATGAATGTTTGACATTTATTTGCTTGTTTTGTGTAAATGTACAGATTTGTATCAGTTTTGTTTGCTGAAAAACTGTTCACATAAGAGAACCTTAAACCTGTTGTTAGTAAGGCTGTTAACACGATAGGACCAGACCTACATTCTTTGCAGTTGACATCACAAGACTGCAGCCACAGACTTTGCAGAGCAGTCACACTTAGGGTCGTGTGTCCCCTAAAAGCCTGGGAGTGACCACTCTTCACCTCTATATCTATAAATAGATCAATTTCCTTGGCAGGGTAGAGAACTGATACTGTGTCAGTGGCTACATTCACGTGGTCCGGTATCAGATTGAGCTCGGCCATCGGAGGAAAACAAAATATCATATTAACTCTCCTTTTAATGACCACTACAGCCAACATTACCCCTGTTGCTGTGATTAGTGGATTGGATTTCAATACAAATATGATGTATATCAGATTCAGCATTGATATTTAATGCCAGGCACATGTACATATGCATTTAATTAAAACCGACTTGAAATATGCAACGTCAGATGTGTAAAATATACATAGTATGTACATGGGCGGTGTTGGTTAAGGTTTCAGGTTTGATGGGTAAAATGCAGAGGTCACATTTTGTTGTGTGATACTGACAGCAGAGAGGAAGAAACCTGTGATTGCCATTGTAATATTCTGTCTTCCTTTTCGTCTCTGGTTTCTAACTTTGAGTCATTTGAACACATACAGTTGAGTTAGTGAGAACAAATATAGTAATCTACATCTTTATTGTTGTTGTTATCAATGTTTAAATTTATATTATTATTATTATTATTATTATTATCCTAAGTTACCATTTCCGAGCAATATCCAATTCCAGGGTCATTGGTATGTAACGTTAGTAGTTCATTGATTTTCTTTTAGGGGTTGTGTACAAAACGTAAACTACACTGGACTCAAAGAACAAAGTCCAGTTGAGTTCATGTCTCTGTTTAAATGTAAAGATGTTATGTTTTATACCTACAATGACATATATCCATTTAGTTTAAAAACATTTAAACTGATTTTTCCTACCCTCACCTAAACCATCACCTTTCTTTTTTTTTATTTTTTTTTACAGCTGTCTTTTTCACCCTCCACCCCCATGAGTAGCCACATACGAGTGCTGTGTCTGTTGGTCTGCCTTCTGTTGGACTGCTTTGGCCTGCACGTGGTCTGTGTTCTCCTGGGGTCCACCTATGGCATGCACACACTTTCCTTTATGGGAGCAGAGGTGAGGTTCTGACGCCACTGTTGTATGAAAACATTTTTAATTTTCAAGAAATACAGGAATAACATAACGTAACATGTTTTACTCACTCTGAAATTGAGAAATTAGTTTCCGTGTTGTTGTTAGATAGCAGTGATTTAAATCCCTTGTTGCCTAGCAACATTCCCCAGGCATTCATTAGTTTGATGTCATGCCTTTAAATTGCCTAATAACTGGTCAAAGCTGAGCTGCTGTGAGGCAGAAAATCGAAAAGAGGGGGTGAGAGATAGGAAAGGGGAAGTGTTGATAATAATGAAACAAACACAAATTAAACACAGTGAGTGTATGATAATAATGAAACACAAATTAAACACAGTGAGAGTATTTTGATGGTGACGAGGATAAGAGCCCATTTTATGTCGGTTGCAGTTTGCATACATTTGTTGAGTTTGAGTTCTGTCGGCTTTAGTTGGTTTGACAAATCGTGCCTCATATCGATCCTCATCAGTCTCAGTTGTTAAACGTGTGATCTCCGGTCACTCGGTTGTCATGCAAAGGTCTGCTGAGACCAGGAAGTGTTCAAGACTTTAAAAACCCCCCACAGATGAAGAGCCCAACCATGTGGCACTGTCACGACATCGGTCGCATTCATCAACAATTTAACATTGACGACAGAATACAGATTGATACTATTAAAAAAAACAACTTTTATTTAATGCCAGGCTTATTTTGATAATAAATTAAAAATGAAACAACCCCTCATTCATTATTTCTCTAAATCAAAATACTGATTCTTGTGTTTGTATGTTCCCAGTGTTTGCTGGTTACTGTACGCAGTGGACATGTCATACTGAGGTAAGTCACATGTACAACACACACTGCAGTCCGTAGAATATTGTTACCCTCCTGCTACGTTACTACTGTCATGAAAAGTGTCTTTGTTTGATGGAGGCTGTTGGGACTAAACCACTCAGAGTTACTAATAACCTGAGGCAGTTGTAATGGTTTTTTTTCAAATATACATTTGTTTTCCTCATTGGGTTTTGACAAGCTTTTCATCTGAGATACACACACAAGATCTTTCACTTTTTTACACACTGTGTGTTTGTAAAAGCCCTTGTGTTTCATGGTCATAAAGAGCTGTACGTGTCCCATCAGATACTCCATCCATCTGTGGGACCTGAACCACCCAGGGACCTGGGAGAGTAAGGGGACGTATGTCTACTACTCTGACTTCATCATGGAGCTCTCTATGTTGTTTCTGGACCTCATGCACCACATCCATATGCTTGTAAGATGCACTAGATATATTTGGTGTATTTAATGTCACAAATCCACACATGTCTTTGTTTAACTTTACACTTCTGTTTGATTTGTATTTGTATTCTAGCTCTTTGGTAACATCTGGTTGTCCATGGCGAGCTTGGTTATCTTCATGCAGCTGCGGTACCTCTTCCACGAGGTCCAGCGCCGTATTCGGCGACATAAGAATTACCTCCGCGTCATCAACAATATGGAGGCCAGGTAAGGGTGTGTTTTGTATTGAATATTTCCTTCCATTTCATCCACTTTATATTTTTAACTTGTGTGTTTAAACATTTTACGCAGGTTTGCTATTGCTACTGCAGAAGAGCTAGCGGCTAACGATGATGATTGTGCCATTTGTTGGGATTCCATGTTGTCAGCACGCAAACTTCCCTGTGGCCATCTCTTTCACAAGTAACATTCACAACATTCACACCTTGAATGTTTTGCTTTTACAATTCTCTAATAATAAGAAAATATTTTTTTAAATTCACAACATTCACACCTTGAATGTTTTGATTTTACAATTCTCTAATAATAGTAATAGTTTTGATAACCACACGTCATCTGTTGTACTAATAGAGATATACTGTACTGTAAGTGTGAAGTTTTGAATTAATTTGCCTTTCTGTGTGAAATTCCAGCTCTTGCCTGCGCTCGTGGCTGGAGCAGGACACTTCTTGCCCAACTTGTCGAACATCCCTCAACATTAACGGGAATGGAACCCCAGCAGGTGGCCAGCAGCAGGGTGGAGCGGCGGGAGAAAACGTTGGCCCGGGGGGAGCAGCTCCTGATGCTCGAGCACACATCAACCATTTCTTCCACTTTGATGGTAAAATTTACACAGCACTGTTTTGCCTTGGTATTTTATTTCTGATCTTATGTGATTGAAATGCATTTGGGTGGATAGAATTAACGGGTGCATTGTTGATTATTTATCAAAAATAGTTACCATCTTATTGTTGGGAGGCTGTTAAAAAGGTCTGAATGCCATGTCAGTTAACTACGAGTCCCACGTTTTTATTTTCAGGATCTCGCATTGCCAGTTGGCTGCCCAGTTTCTCCGTGGAGGTGATGCACACGACTAATATCTTGGGCATTACTCAGGCTAACAACTCACAGCTAATGGCAATGGTAAGTTTTTATTGAGCTTTTGTCCAGTATAATTGCTTGTTACATAGAGACGACTTCAGTTGTTCAACTCCTCCGATGTCCGTAGATGGGAAAAAAACTACCCAACAATTAAAACAAACACATTTCAATGTGTTGAAATAAAAGTTTATATAAAGTTTTGTTTAATTTTCATATGAATTGCACAGGAAATGAACTTTGTTTAATTTTCATATGAATTGCACATTAAAATGAAAGAAAACTAACACCTGATTCACACTTTTTTTAACTGTAATTTTTTTTACTTGTTAGCACAAGATAAGAAAACATAGGTAGGCTTTTGAAATGCTATATATTAGTATTGAATTGGCAACGCACTACGAGAAACTGTCACCGAAATTAATAAATATGGATGATATTAAATAGGATTTACTTACATTAAACTGGCTTAGACATAATGAACATTTTTAAATATTGTTGTTTTGGTTTCTGATCAACAGTCCCATCAGATCCAGGAGATGTTCCCTCAGGTACCCACCTATCTGGTAATGCAGGACCTGCAGCTGACCCGCTCCGTAGAGGTCACCACTGACAACATCCTGGAAGGACGCATCCAGGTGCCTTTTCCACCACAGGTACGGACCAACAGGTCCAGATGTTAGGGGGAATATCAGTGCTGTGCCAGTTAAATATTTGTCTTTTTTGTTTTTTAAATTTTCATTAGGCAATAGAGCGCGCTCCTATACAGATTAATACATCAACGGATGAGCAGGCAGGACCCAGTGGGGCAGCTGATCAAAGTGACCCAGACAACATGGAGGTGAGAGGAGGTCGCTTCTCAAAGTCAGCTGAGGAGAGGCAGAAGATGCTGAAGCAAAGGAAGGAGGAGTTGCTACAGCAAGCACGCAGGTGGTTATTCTACACTTATCAAAAACAAATTCAAATTCTCAACAATTGAGAGAAAAACAATCACATTTCCAGGATTAGTGGCTGTCTCTATCAAAGGGACAGTTGTATGATTTTGGCATGTTTTTAGTGTTAAAAATAGTTTGTTTACCTGTTAATTTTATAAATCAGGAAGGATGCACACCCTCCTAGAGTAAAAGTAATACATTTTTTTAAAATGTTGTCATTGCATTTTTACATTGCATTGTAGGAGATACCTGAACAAGAGCCCAGAGGACCAGAATGAGGATTTGCCAGAACTAGAGGAGGACACTGTTCCAGAATTGGACTTTACTTTGCTGAGACGCACAACCATGGCAGCAGCCGCAGAGAGACGTTTACAAAACCTGCAGGACGCCTCACCTTAACACAAAAACTGACTTCAGGTGAAGAGTCTGCTACGTAATCATCAGACGTGACATAAAAGGAGCCACGTCAACCATCTCTCTCTCCTCCACTGAGTGCTGGACTTTGAATGGACTTCACCTGCTCAAAAGTAGAATTATAAAGCATTGCAGACATGGTTTGGTCCACTTTGGACTGCTTTAACAAGATGAGACTGTTATAGCCTTTGCATCCCAGATTTAAGCCTGAGTATTATATAAATGAATGGATGCAGGTCCAGAAACACAGTCATTGATTGTCCTATATTCTCGTGCCACACATTGCAACCACCAGCTTCCACACACAGTCAGTATTTGCTTTGATACTGTGGCTGCCAGAATGAGCATGGTTTGCAAAATGTTTTAGGTCTACCCGTCTATCAAGTTCCTGTAGTAGCTGGAGTTAATCCCAGCTGACAACAAGAGGAGACGTGGTATACTCTGGACAGGTCACTGATACTTTTTGGGGATCATTGTTGTTTTTTTTGTTTTATTAGATTACATCTGCAGCAGTCTTTTGCTAACTGTGGAGAGCTTTATATTGAGAATTAAGGAATTCAGTGGATGTAGTTTTATTGCTAATTTAAAGAAAATGGGGGGAAATACTCCCATTTGCATTAATGGAGATGGAGGTGGATGTGATCAGAAGTCTAGAGTTCTCTCTGCTTTGATAATCCCAAGTTTCCTCGGGACTAGGGGTCACGCTGCGCTCTAAATCTTGAACGAGTTGGTTTAAACCTTGACCTTTGTACACTAAAGGAAGTTCTGAGGGTCAGAGCTGTAGGAGCTTCAGGCAGGGAGTGTGTTTGTTACACCTGTGCCTACAGACCTGATGACAGACAGGGGTCCTGGATCCATGAGCACCTGATGGTGAAAGTGGAATTGTGAGGAAGAGAGTCAACATTATATACTGTATGTTTAAACAGTGTCACCATGTTTCTAGACTTCAGTGAAACTGGAGATGAACACTGTATATTTTAAGTGTTTGATTTCTGTGAGTTACAGAACGAGGGGACATTTTTGGGCTGAGGAATGCATCCACGTAGACAAATGCTTTTATTTCCTTTCTAACCTCTACCGCCCCCCCACCCTGCTTTTTTTTTAAAGCAGTGTTGTGATCTCAATTGTTAAAATTCTTCTCTTCTTCTTTGTCCAATCTCTTATTTGGGGGTGTTGTCATAACATAGGATTCCAAATTCAGTTATTAAACAACTTAATGAAAAGGTGTGTTTTTCTCTTTAATTTGTCAATTACTTTAAAGTTTTGATATTTTGTTATATTTCCCTACGCCGGTTGTTTTCGATGACTCACTTTTTGTCAGAAAACTGGAACACGATGTGAATGATGCTTTCTTGTAATTTCTCCAATTCAGCTAATAATTGTTCAGTTATGAATAATTTCTGTAAATCTAGTTTTGTAAAATATGTTAATACAAATTCAATAAACAGCTTCTAAGGCTTTTTAATTTAAAACACTGAATATATATATTTTTTTAGTCTAAACTTGAACCTTTTGCTACCATATACCTACAGACTATAGAAAGAAAGAAAAGTTAAAAAGAAAATCGGCAAATGTCCAATATTGATCAATGAAAGAGGAATTCAGCTCGTCTTCTTTAAAAGTCTGAACACTTTCTGGTTAAAAAAAAAATGTATTCCTGGTTAAAAGCAGTTCAGTAACTTTCTGAAACTGGATATTCAAAATTAATTACTTTTACTTTTAAAGCTGGTAATGAACTTATTTCCACTTCGTCGTCACATGCAGTAAAAATTGATACACATCTGTGTTTTATCTTCATTGTAGGCGCAGCCCAATAATGCTTTATGTGTTACGGGGCTCGCCATTCGATTAAATGTCCTCTGACGTCATTCGTGTGCGTCAGTTTGACACGTCATTCTTCGACTGTTGGAAACATTTAGCTGTGTTTCACCCCCAACATGTAGTCCAGCCTCCTTCTAAACCAGAGAGCCGACTACCTGGTTGTCATCGTGTGGCACGTCAGCCGGGGAACTCTGCTCAACCGTTTCTTACTTTACGCGTGAAGGGACTTTTACCGGTAAGTGTTTAAACTTAGCTCGCTAGCGTTGTCACAGCCTCTTCTAAAGAAGCGACAAAGCTAACGCTCGTTTAAGGCTCCAGCATTTGAGTTTGACACAAGGAATAAGTTAGGACTCTTACTGGAGTATACTTTGTGTTCCGCGTTCTGTTCCACGGAAAACGCTCGTCCTTGTACGTGGACGTAATGAGTACCGTATCGATATGTAGCTAGTATTTCGCCATCCAAAATACTCAAAGATTCAGTAACAACACGCGTTAATGTTGGGAAACTGCTGTCATATTACTCAATAGAACTTGTTTGATTTATTTTTCTTACTAACTTACTAAAGCCATTGATAGCAGTAGGGCCTAACTACTAAAGGTTTACGTATACAATATTATTATTCAATTTTTTAAAATAAAAAAAAATACTAAAAAAACTAAAGTTGTCCGTAATAGCATATATTTGGACTTTTGTTTCACTTTCAAGTGAACGGGCTGGGATAGGATGGGCCTATCTCATATAACACATCCTGGATATTAACTGAAAACAGGTGTTGTCTTAAGGCGTGTTCTTTGAGGATATGTGTCAGAATATAATGGCGAGTCCAGCTGGCTTTTGTTATCTAGTTTGCCTGCCTGATTGTGTTTGTAAAGACAGTTTGCAATGTTTCTTTTCAGGGTTGTAAACATAGAACACGAAGCTACCCTTCCTCCCCAGCAGAGAGCGCTATAAACACAGTTGTAATGCGACGTATGTTGTGTGCAGTGGTAAACATTTTTGTTTCACGTTAATAACAACCTGTGTCTGTGTTGTGTCAGTATTTAGCTACAGTCCTAGTACTGACTTTAGGGCCTCGTGGTGTGTTATTAAAAAGGATTTGTATTTAACGCTGGAGAGTCTTCTCTTGACCTGTGATGGTCATTGTGTAGATTTAGTTTCCTGGTCGAAGTTCTGTTTGACTGACTTCACTTTTCCTTCCGCGATACGACAAATTCGGTAAAGTTCACATGAGACCGTCTTTCAGTGTTTGATGTATTGATGTATTTCTTTTTTTCCCCCCGAAGATTGTAGAATGTTACTGGACGAGACGCCGCTCTTTGAGCCCTCCCTGCTGCAGGAGCTGGACTGGAGTGGAAACACTGCGTCCTTCTCTCCCCCCGTCTCCCCCTCCAGCCCAGGAGAAGGACTCGTACTGAGGCCACTTTGTATGGCCGACTTCAACAGAGGTGAGACCCACAGCGGTGCTGGTGCACCTCGTCACAAATGTGAGAGAGAGAGAGAGAAAATGACTCCTTTCTACTGCTCTCTGCTGTGTTCCAGGATTCTTCAAAGTTCTGTCTGAACTCACCAAGACAGGTGACGTCACACCTGAGCTGTTCACAAGTAGGTTTGTTTTTGTCTCAAACCTTTACCTGTATAATGTCAACAGCGGACGTTCCTGTCTCTTCAAACTCTTACAGACCTGTGTATGATTTCCGCCTGTCTTTCAGAAAAGTTTGAGCACATGAAGACAACTGGAGACTATTATGTTCTTGTAGTGGAGGACACACATCTGGGGCAGATTGTTGCCACTGCCACGTTAATCACAGAACACAAGTTCATCCACTCCTGTGCCAAGGTGAACAACAATAACAATAATATATTGTTTGGTAAAAACTAATCCACTTGTAACTGGGGATTAATGTACCATTTATTATACTGCATGTACTGTATATATTTTAACATCTATAAATAACCTGCACAACAGCCTTTTAATGGTTTCACCTCTTGTTATTGTGCCTGGTAATTCATAACTTTTTTATCTTATCCTAATTTCCTTCGACTCTTTACCGTCTCATTCTGTACAGTGGTGATCATATAAAGTAATGATTAAACCGTTATTGTTCAGCAGTCGTTTGAATGAAAACAGAAATCCACCCGTCACTTTGTTGGAAACACGTTGACGACGTTGGTTTGTTTGTGTGCAGAGAGGTCGGGTGGAGGAGGTCGTGGTCAGCGACTTCTGCCGAGGGAAACAGCTGGGCAAGTGTTGAGTAGATCAACGTGAACTGGAGCTGGAGACATTTGTTAGTTTTGTTTTTTTATTTTATAGGCCAAAACTTCACGCCTCCTTTTTTTGTCCTCGTAGGTTGGTTTCAACTCTTCTCCTTCTTGGCAAAAAGCTGAATTGCTACAAAATCACACTGGAATGTGCCCCCAGAAATGTGGCGTTCTACAAAAAGTTTGGCTACACGGCATCGGACGACAGCTACATGCAGTGTCGATTCTTTGACTGAAGACGGCCACATTTTTAGAACTTGGGACTATACAGTAAACACAACTGGAACAAATTTGTTGTATGAAATATATGTATTCTAACCAGTATGATGTCAGAGTAAGGCGGTCTCTGCCTTCTGAGCATCATCTTTTTTTTTTTTTTTTTTAATCCTCCAGTGAAGTTAAAATCCCACCTTGCAAATTTTTTCTCTTTTCCAGAAACAAATTGAAAATTTTTATTGAAGGCATGTGTGGCTTCATGTTGTTCAGCTTCGCCTGGCTACGTTTACATGTATCGACTGCAGACTCGTCAGAACAAACAAATGTGTGACATTCTGAGCAGGAAAGTGTGGACTTCAGGCTCCACACGGATTATTTTCTCTGAACTCTGACGGTTCTATCTTTTGAGCAGGCACAGTTTTTGGGCCCATTTCATCAGTGTTGTCTCTGTTCCACAAATAATAACAGTGGTGACTGTGCACCTCGGTGAGAGTGGAGCTGATCTGAGAGCAGCGTCTCTCGTCAAAGTAGAGAGTGTTCCTCAGAGATTCTACGTCTACAGGTCAGGGATTAGAGGAGTAGCAGTGAATGCAGCAGCTGAAAACAATGCATGTTTTAAACAGAAACTATTTCAGTATGTGCGTAGATTTGAATTTTAAACACGAATATCAAAATGAGCATGGTTGGAAATAACATCTGGACCTTTAAATGGTGCCCCGCCCTCTTTCCTCAGTTATTCCTTCATACACTCTTAAATCAAACCTGTCCTCTACTGGGGTTGTCAACATAGAAAAAATGTCTTAATTACCACAGCTAACTAACAGCAGGGTGGAGCTGAGGCAGTGTTGAACAGTCAGTCTGTGTGATGAATGTCTGTGACCCCCCCCTCCCCCCGAGGACTGACAAAATACAAACATCTGTGTCTATGATGCAATGCAGCTTGTACTTGGAATAGAGTTTCACAATGTTGAAGAGGATGTATGTACTTCATATATATATACACACACACACACACACACTCTGCCTGGCCAAAGAAATGTTGAAACTCTTCTCTGTCCCCACAGGGATCCTCATCTCTGGGTTTAACTCTGTTCATATGAAGAAAAGTTACACTACACACGACTACAAGACCGAGGCCTAAATAATGTTTTAAACACTTCAGTTAAGTTTTATACACACTACAGCTCATGATGGAGGGTTTACATTATTGACCACAGACAGGACACCAAAGAACTCAGCTCTTAAAAGAAAGGGTTTATTGTTTCATGCTTCAGATTTGATCATTTTATCACCTCTTTCATTGACAGCTTATTAATGAAGTATCAATCAAAACAGTCGTTTGTTTTATCTGTTCAATTTTTAAATATATATATATATATTTAGAGAGAAACAAAGGAGGGGTGACAGTTATTTTTGTAAGAAAACTTACTTTATTTAAGCTTTTGTAGTTAAGTTTTATAATCGGGGTTATCATTCTAAAGAGCAGAAGGAATATTTAATTGTAATTTATTATGAAAAATGTATGAAACAAAATAAAAACATCTGTATAATCTGGTTGTCCATCGTCGTCGACTCTGAACACTTTTAACAACTTAAAGAAACAGAGCAGAACAGACCTCAGTCAAACTTCCTTTTATTAAGCAGGGAGTTATTTTATCCAGTTCACATTACGGCTGATATTAGTCCATATTGTTAGTCCTACCACTCCCAAAGTAAAGGCATTAGCTCAGCTCCTCAGATCCTGGGCAACATCCTGGCTACTTTCCCTTTTGTATGCCCCCCCCTCTGGTCTTCTACACAAATTCAAGTATCGAAAGTGCATTATTGCAATACTGTCCCGCTGCAAATGCAAAATGCTTTAAATACTAAAAAAATGCAAAAAATCTCCCCTCAGTGCATACAGGTCAAGGAAAAAAAAAAAAAAAGTCCAATCTGCCCTGTCCCATCAACTCTCCTCACGTCTCAGACATGAAGGATTCTCAGCCCTCCCCACCCGCATCCCATCCTCTTAGAAAAAGTTCAAATATTTACATTTTTAATTCAATTAAAAATGTAAAAAAAAGAGTGCACTGGGCCACGTGGCTTATATAAGCAAAGCTCAACCATTCTGTGCTGCAGTGACCTGCATTGATCCAAAGTCTTCGTCCTCCTCCAGGCTACGCTTACGGCTTCCTAGTAAAATGTTGCAGACAAACAAAAGACAAACAAAAGACAATCACCGACGTTTACATCGACTCCCCCAAAAAAACAATAAAACTAAAACTTACTAACTAAAAAAAATTCTAAAACTAACAATCACCGACGTTTACATCGACTCCCAAACCCCCCCCCAAAGAAAACCTAAAACTAAAAAAATTCTAAAACTGCTTGCTTTCCCTTCTCGGCTTCTCTAAAGTTCCTGCTGCTGCTCCAGTAACACTGACATGAAGGGAATCCAATGAATGTGCAGGAGTAGAAACATGAGCTACGAACCTGGCATCCCGGCTTGTAAGAAGGATCTGCCCAACTGCATGGGTGCCATCATTTTGATGGTCAGTTTGGCCAAATAGATCGCTTCATATTCCTGAGAGAAAAGCACCCGTTACTGTAGTAAACTGTAAACACCAGCAGCTGTGAGTCAGTCAACACGAGTGTATCTTGGAGTCTTGGGTCGACTCTGGGTTGTACCTGTAACTGGTGCACGAAGCCCACGTTGGGGTTGATGCAGAACCTCCTCTCCTGGACGTGGCTGAATGCATCCCTGCAGAGTGAACATGACAGGGTTAAAAAGTTAAAAAACTCCAGAACTAGGAAGTATCACTGATACAAAGGGGGAGTTTAACATCAGGGGCGGGGACTGGAGCTGTTAAATATGAGCAAACACTTAAAGACGGCACCTGGTGCCAAATACACTAATGTGTTAACTTTAAGTTAACTTATTTAACCAGCGCTGTGTGTGTTCATTTGTTTATTTAAACATGGGAATAGTCAAACACAGCTTAAGTGACACTTTGTTCACTGGCCAGCAGGAGACACTGTTTTTAAATAATATGTGTTATCACAGTGTAAAAAACTCTGTTCGTCTGGCTGTGATAATTAAGTAAATTTCCATTTTCATTTCTTATTTTTTTATATTATTATACCATAAAGAATGCGTTTGTTAAAGAAAAAACCATTACCTGTATTTCATTCCAAAAGTTTCCATAAGGTATGCAATCACTAAGGCGGCACTAAAGGACAAATGAAGACGTGTCAAATTCACAGCAGTTGTAGTGTGTACTGTAAACACGTTAGAACTTCAACACTGCAGAGTTTTGTCTCATTTCACAAAGATTAGGTAAAAACTGCTGCATTTATATGGAGAAAAATAGACAAACTGATTGAAAAGCCTACCTTCTTGAAATCCCTGCATTACCGTGAACTAGTACCTTTCCTAAAAGAGCAACACAACATTTGTTGATGAATCGCTTTTTTCACTCGACGTAAAATGAAAGGAGATCGGTCGGCATTCTTACCTCCGGTTTCTAAGCAGCTATCAATGAATTCCTTTGTCTGTAGGTAAAGAGACCGGAGGGAAGAAAAAACAAAATCCAATGCAATTTATCAAGTCAGTGTATAATACCAGGAAACTATAACACTACTCCGTAACTCACCGTAGGAAAAAATCTTATAACATTTTCCATTGGATTGTCAGCAATACCTAATACAAGGTATCTGCAGAACAAAACAGAAACATCTCCACTTTAACACAAACAGACACAATCAGATCAAATATTAACATGTATATTCACTTACCTAAAGGCATGAGGGAAATTGGGTTTGATGAAATTGGCTTCAATGTCTTGGCGTACACACACAATATGTGTTATGCCCTGTCTCTCCAGAATTGGCAGCTGGAAAAAAAAAGAATATGTGAGAGACTGAATACAATAAAAAAATAAATAGTCTGGAGTTTGGTTTCTGTGAGACTGTTATTAAACAGGAGAGTAAAAAAAAAGTACCTTGCTTTTCATTGCAGCAGAGTAGGGGCCTAAAAACAGACCTGGTAATATCTCCTAAAAAATGTTAGAAAGAAAGGCACCAAACTGTTAACACAGGGGATCATAATGATCATTCTAATCATACTACTGAAAATAAATAATGCATTTATTCATAATTATGTATGTTTGATGTATGTTTACGCACAGACCTGCATTTCTCGTCTCATTGGATAAGCCCAGTCCTGTGAAGAACAGAGAAGAAACGTGCAGAAAAAGGCGTGTCAGAGTTAGGGGCCAATCTTTGGACGTGTTACCTCATGTGACAGCGTGTGCACAAACATGCCACATCCATGGCACAGCAGGATGAGCCCACACCGGGTAACTTTGTCCACATACGTGGCTACCTGTGGTGAGCTACGCCACACAGCGTTAACTCCGTCAAACCACAATATATAAGATAAACTCACTCAACCGTACGTCAATACAGACACACGGGGTTTTATTTTTTTATTTTTGACAGATACACGCACACGAATGTTTTGTTTTAGCCTGTAGTGTGACATGTAGAGCTGAATGCTACAGTTGAGGCTAGCTCAGGTTAGCCTGGTAGCCACACAGCAGATACGGCTGCTAACGCTCACTCACCAACAGCTCCTCCTTGGTCGCGGGCAGAGACGGGAACTGAAGTTTGTTTTCCTCGTCCATACTGATGTTTGTTCGGGCTCCTGTGACCCGCTACCAACGCGCGCTGTCGATGTAATTGGCGGCAGCGTTAGCTGAAAAGGCGATGCTGTTTGTTTTGAAGCTCCACATGCATGTCCGCCATACTGCTCTCCTGTCAGCTCTGTCACGTGACGCTAACGGCCGAGCCGAGGCGACCACAAAGGAACGTTTAAGCGGCGACCCCTGGTGGACGAAATAAGAAGTGGTCTTTAATCATCTATTTTATAGACAGGAAGGTATTAAAAAAGGTATTAAAAACAAGGCAATAAAATACTTTACTTCCTTATGGTGTAAATTGCTACTGTAAACACTGTGACAAACAAAGGACTTCTTGTCTCATCTTATCTTATTTTTTATTTTCCAAACACAGAACTGGGGACAGCCAGAGGATGGAAATGTTCATATCTTTGCCTAAGAAGACAGACAGTTCAGAAAGAAGAGTGAATTAAACTCAAACCCCAAGGAGTGTACAGGCAGGTCGGCCCCTCAGGTGATCCAACCTCCGAGGTAGGTCCTTTCACACCCTGACCCAGGTGATCACTACATCCAACATTGCTTGTCACTGCTGCCTTTTTTTAGTACAAGACAGTCTTGTGCTGTGCGGACTATTAATGGTGTATATACTGTGGATAAAGAGAGTTATAGAGAGACAGAGATCGATAGATTTAGGTATGACCCCAGAGAAATGCATCGTTTAGTAGAAAACAAAAATGGGCCCAAAGTGTCGGGGTTTTACTTCCTTTTTCTCTCACTCATACTTTTATCTTAATGTCTCACTCTAATGAGTAAATGAGTGAGTGTAAATGATTGACCTGTAGACTGTCATGGGCGTGTCCTTCCTTCATGTGACTGGAATTGATAAAAGAAGATTGATTTAAGATAAAAAAGATTCTTAGAAATTCTATGGGTATAAAAACAATTGAAGATAAAGTCATTGCTTCATGGTTTAGTGTTTCAGTCCTCCAGGACGTACACAGTTTTGTTGCAGTTGATGTTTCACTTAAATACTTTGTGTGTCTGTGTTTATTTAACAGCAGGTTTTTCATTTTGCTCTTTACAAGCTGTTCTTTTGTGAACTGGTCTAAACCATAAAACTCTCAGACTTGTATTGAATCCCACTCTCACCCTGGTTGGAGGAGAACGTGGACTATAAACATTACAGGGAGTTGTTTATTGGTACTCTACATCAAATGAAAAACAGCCGTAATTTTCCCATACAGTACATGTCTGTTTATATTGATTTATTCTAGAAGCCACTGGACAAATACGTAAATTCTCTCTGTGTACAGTCTATAAATGCAGTCGTTTTTGTTCGGCCATTATTAAAAATGGCGGTCAATTTTGTGCGAGCAACTGTTCAGGTTTATTGTAACTGTAGTGGATCGGAGGAAGGAAGGTCTCAGGGCAGAAATACAGTTGTAGATGCAGTACCACTTCTGTCCAGTATGAACTTGCCCCTACAAACTATTGTACTGACTATTATCAACACCCTTTAAAAGTAGTTTATTTCTTTCATTCATTTCAGTGTCACTTTGTTGTAACTTGGTTTTTATTTGCGTTACTGCTCCTCTTTTATGGAGCCATGACAATTCTGGGTCCAATCTAAATGCAGATTATATTCACTGTCAATCCTAGAGCTTCCACCAAACTGTTATCTTGTTTAATCATCAAATCTGTCCCTCAGAGTTTTTTTTTCTTTTAATTATTTCTTTCTGCTAATAATCCCTTCATCATCTGTGACTGAAGATATAAAAGAGAAAGCCTGTTGTCCACAGCATTCAGAATTATTGTTTTAGATTTACCCTGAATCAAAAAGAAATGAAGTGTAGCAGCGGAAATAACCAACAAAAACAAACAAACAAACAAAAAAAAACCAACGCTCCTTTTAAAGAATATGAATTCCTTCTGTGGATTTTCAGTCGTCTCTGACATCACAGTCTTGATTTCTCTCTCTGAAGTGGATTCCCTGTCATACACAGACGTCCCTGTGACGACGGCACTTTGATATTCTGTCGCTTCAGACCAAATCAGAAATGATCCGCCCGGCCAGATTGTTTGGCGGAGACATATTGGCCTGTGTACGAGATTGGAAACAGAGCAGCGAGGGTGAGGGGAGGTAGTCCTACAAAGAAATGAACATAAAATGATGTATTAAAGTTGTAATTCACTGAGTGTCCCTGGTGTGTGTTCTCAAAACACTTATATACAGACAAATATACTGCAGTACATACCGTAGTATCTGGGTTTTTATTTTTGGCTGGTGATAAAATGGTTGTTTATCGTTGGTGGTCCTGTTGAAATTTAAATACCGCAGTATCAATAATCAGTACTGACCTCTGACCTCTGAAATAATAAGTGCAGTACGTTGTGAGGATTGACTTGTCGGATGATTCCAGGATTGGACGAGCAGCAGAGTGGAGTAGATCCACAGCAGATAGAGCAGACAGACGACCTTTCTGTGTAAAAGTTTCTCTGTTTGTTTCCCTCCAAAAGTCCAGAAACGTGCAGATTGGGGATCGTGTTTATTGGAAACTCCGACTCAACCATGGATTTGTGTATTTGTTTAGGTGTGTGGCCCTGTGAGTTTCTCTGTTTGTTTCCCGAGCGTACGCTGCCTCAGTGTCAGCGTAGACTGCAGCTCCTTCTAAACCGTCAGCAGACTAAAGGCTTAGACGATGAATGAACAAACACAGTCAGTGAAGAACTTTAATCTCACAAGAAGACTTTTAATTAAGGTAAAAATTGATTTTTTTAAAATTGGACACTCAGAGTGAGTCTGTCAGTAACGAATTCACACCAATTTAACTGAAGCAAAAGGTTGATACAAGTGACCAGTTAATTAACAGTTAATGAAGTTTAACGTGTTTTAACTCCAGCAGTTTGGGTCAAACTGCTGGAGTTAAAACACTAAAATTCCTGATGCACTAAACTAAGGCAGAATCTTATCATCGATGTTTATATGTTATATACATCAAACTTTCCCAAACCTTTTTTTTCTGTCACAAATCTTCACGACCCAAATCAACATTCTGGTCGATTTTCTCACTGAGGTACTGCCGCCACATGGGGGCGAAAGAAGATTATTGGTCCACTGGATCAACCCCCCCTGTCTTGTTGTATGGAGTTTCAATGTTTTCTCTCTCTCTCTCTCTCTCTCTCTCTCTCTCTCTCTCTCTCTGGTTTTCTGCCAAAGTCCAAAAACATACACATTCGTTGATGTTCTTGATCAGACAGTTGGGTTCAAGAGTTAATGGTTGTCTGTGGGTCTGACTGGAGATTTAACAACACTGGATGCATAACAACTTAATGAGTAGTACTGCAGTATTAGTACTGCAGTATTAGTACTACAGTAACTATTACTGCAGTTTGAGTTTGTACTTTTTTTTATAAACATATAAAGATGCCGTGTTATCTTCTCCAATGTCTCAGTCTGTCGGTCAAATATTAATGAAGAATAATTAATATGATCCTCATCAGCTCAACACTAATGAATTATTTAGTTGTGTTTCATTATTCAGTGGAGTTCACACATGTGCCTAATGGGCCTAATTAACTGTAAACTGCACCTCTTTTAAATCCATCTACATATATTTCTGGGTTTTTTCTCTTTTTTTCTATTTTTGTCAGATCA